AAATACCGTGACTGAGCCCCTTTAAGTGACCAAGCCCTGGACCTTGGGTTTATAATTCATTTAAATAGTTTTACCTTCCTTGCTTGACGCACTTTCTGCCGAAACGTAGCTTATAGATGCGTGCAGTAGTTTCACCTGCTGTTGCAACTTTTCAATTTTATCCATGATTTTTTTCTCCATCCTCTCCATTTTCTCTTCGTTTTCCTCTGTCTCCTCTTCCATACTTTTAAACTCCTTGTCAAACCTGATGGTTGTCTGTGACCACACCGCGGCCAGCTCGTTCACGTGGTTGATAGTTTTATTGAGCTTCTTCGTCACGTTATTCATCAGCTTCGATTGATTAGCAATCTTATCAAACACTCGTTTGAACTCCTTTTCATTGCCAGTGCCTTTAACAACGCTGGAAACTTGATTGCTGAGATTTTCGATGATCTCTGACTGTGCTTTCACCAGATTTGTCACAGTTTCAACATTATTTGAAAGAGCATTCAACTGAGGAGAGAGAAACGTTTCAGTTACGAAAGATTAGCAACACGATCGAGAAAAAATAAAGAGATTTCTCCTATGTCTTCAAAGCATATATGATTTTAACAGTTTTTCTTAATTCATTTTTTGAAGTTTGTAACAACTATGACAACATATATGTAATAAAATTCTGCAATATGTACAATGTAAAGGTTGGTTATCATATCACCAATTCTCATGACCTTTATGGTATTGGAAGAAATTAGTTGTTGGTCACCCGTAGGCCCTTAAAATCAGCTGATTTTCAATGTTACAAGGGAAAACTTTAAACCCAAGATAGTTGCCTTATAAGCGGGGACAGCTAATATCGCAACACGAGCCAGTTCCGACGGATATTGTGTCATCGACATGCAGTGTTTTCTGAAGGTATTCGAGCTTCATTCTGTAACATGTTGTGCCAAACTCTTACAGGGCCTACAGGGCGTTATGCCTCAGTAGTTTTGAGCATGGAGTTTTATTGCAACAAGATCGAGGAAAGCGTCGATCGGCTAATGTGTAATGGGAGTGCCCATGGAACAGGTGAAGTTGTTGGCAATCTTAGGGACCAAAAATGCAAAGGCGCTAAAGGGTAAGAGCCGAATGCTTCTCTGCCCACAAGGATTGAATGCTAGTCTGTCCCAAGTTTACTCTGAGGCAGTGTGGTCAGGTTGTCCTAAAAACTCGATCACTGGTCCCATTCACACTCCCGGGCGGAGAGACACTATATTGGGAGAGTCAAGTGCCTACTGAGCTACCCCAAGAACACAACACCCCCAAAGTACTCCCATAAGCTCTCCTTACGGACACTTTCATAATTCGAACACCTCTATATGATCTCTGCCTCCATTGATACGAACACCTCCATAAAACAGACACTTTGTTCTTGCCCTTTAGTGGTCTTGTTAGAGACGTTCGACTGCACCATTTCAATTGTTCAGTTATAGAATTAAGGAAACAAGCTCCATTAGATAGTAAAAACTCACCATCTCCTTGTCAGCCTCGCTTTGACCGCTTCCTTCGTTACCGTAGAGAACAATAGCTGTTTAGGAACAATGGAGCCGGGCAGGTTGCAGTTTCAGCATTTATATTGTATCAGTTCAAGTGTAAAGTCTACTCAATTATTTATGACACGCTGGGAAGTTTTTATTTTATCTCAACCTGGGTCAGTGTGAGACTTTTGAAAGAAATGCTCTCTGCCGAAATGATTAAAATTGAAAATAAACAGGTCAACCAAGGTGACGACAACAACTCTACAATTGTCTCTGATGTACTTGGAGTAATTAACATAATAGTAAGGCCGTTGGATGAAATTGTAAGTGTAACTACACGATAATAAAACGGGTACAAAGTTGTCTCCTCGGAGAAGAACCTTTTCACCATGTTACACGAAGTCACTGTAGTTAATTCACAACGGAAATTTCGCTGACATTCAGAGTACAGCTTGTCAAGTTAAAATCGGGTACCATTTCACTCCCTACATGAGACGCTATCCACAAGTTGATCAAGCAATTGTTACTCCATTACAGAAATACAGTATCACTTTGACTTACCTGAGTGTTGTGGTTTTGGATGATACATAATCACTTGCTTTTTGTTACCTTTGTCAACTGGATTTCGCCCTGATGATTTTAAGACGAAGAGGGCTAAAACTAGGAGCTTGACTTTTGGAAAGTAACCCATAGTTGTCTTAGATTGTCGATGCCTTCAGTGCTTTAGAGGCCAACAGAAATCGCAATTCTCTGAATGGAGCAAGTGCGAGTATTTTGTCGAACAATCAAGGATTTCTCCAAGCGTGTAAGGTGTCGGATACTGTTTGAAGACTGGCAGGTATGTAATTGCAAGAGCTCTTGTGGATACGCCCACAGAACAAAGCTTCCTTATTACTAGTGATTGCAAATTTATAGGTTCAAATTCGTTCTTGGTGAATTAACCTATTATAAAGATGTCCCATCAGTAACCATTTTGGTTGTAAAATTACAAAATTATAGTTCGTTAATTGTTCAAAGCTGCAGCTCCGTAAGAAGCATTTCATGTGGTTCAGTTTTGTTTCCAAATTCAGTTCATATTATTTCTACCTCGTATCGATATTTTCAGTTTGAAACGTAGAAAATACAACTGAACGAGTTAATTTTACCAGACTCTACCACGATACAATTCCTTTGGGGACTCAGGTGTTCGGAGCTGGGTTTGAGTGTGTGCGTTTCGGACTCAAGCGCTTGTATCTTGTTTTTCGCTTTGGCGCGCAAAGGAGTTTAAGAACGACGTGATAGGGGGGTGGGGTGGGGGGCTTAGAAGCGTGGAATTTCCGCCACTCCGTAATTTCCCTAGAAACTCATTGTACCTCCTTAGACTACACATTTTCAAGGCATATAAATATGATACAGTCGGATCTTTCATTAGCAGACACTCATGACACCACACACACAAAAAAACGCCACTTAGAAGTGTCCGCCTTATAGAGGTTAAGAATTAAATCGTGTTTATATATATGTGGCCGAGACCGTGCAGGACGAAGATTTCTGTAGGACTTAGTGTCTGCTCACATGAGGTGACTACCTATTGGGGTGTCCGTTAGCGAAGGTTCGACTTTATTACAGAATGATATCTTTGTACGTAAATTTGCGTAGCTCTATACCATATCTTGTAATAGCGTTTTTTTTTTCATTACTGTGTCATATCATATTTACTGCGCCTTTCAATAACATACGGACTCTAAAATTCAAAGCTGAACCGACAAATGCGTTTTTCGCTACCGTCAATCAAATGTTCGGCGGCTCCTCCCAGCTTCCGACAACTGCCGAACTACTGTTTCGATGTCTGAACTTTGCTCAACGATTTGATTACCTCGCGCTCGGCAGTAGTCGGAAGCTGGGAGGAGCCGCTGAACATTTCATTGACGGTAGCGAATATGGCATTTGTCGGTCGAGCTATGAATTTTAGAGTCCGCATGTTATTGAAAGGCGCAGTAGCATGGAAAAAGAATGAAAACCAATAATTCTGGCAGTCGCGAGATCGTGTAGCATGCGAGCAAAAGAGATTATGTAATGAGGATAATTTTGTTGTGATACTGAATTCTCCCAAGGCGAATTATATTTCAGTTGTAGCAGTAGTTAGGAAGAATTTTCATGTTAAACGTTTGGCAGTTTATAGGTCACTACCATTTTTGCAGAACTGATCTATCTTGTTAAACTCCAAGCAGCAATATAATCTACAGTCTAGAAGAATAACAATTGGTCACGCAGTAAAACAAGAAGTACATTGTGTGATACAATAGTCGAGCGATGAATTTTGTCGCAAGTTGTTTCCAGATATCTCCTTTGCTTTTCTGTCAAGTTCAGAGCACTACTTCGAGGTTTCCGTCGATGATTAAACTTGTCTCGAATAGCTTGGCGAACTTCCTTCAGGAAATCGTCGTGTAATGAATGTGAGAGAACTTCACTTGTATTTTCCAG